CCACAGACCATGTCCTCTGTTCAATTCCTAACGCAAACTACAATAAATGGTGATACACATTCAGAAGGAACCTTCTTGGAGTCTCTTCTTTTTGTGGAAAGCAAAGGGGTGGGTGAGGAACGAGAGCCAAACGGGGCTGCATGTGGCGAAGTCTCTCGTCTGCCACCCGTTCGGAGTTGCTACTTTGAAAACAAAAGCTTGCGCGTTCTGCGTCCGTCCCGAGGCTCCGTCCGGTCCTCGCTCGGTTCACTGTGCAGGTGTGCGTGGGGGTTGAGACTTGTCATGTTCAGTCTCCGCCATCCAGCCTCAAGTTTTTCCCCATCTCGAGTGCCTTTCCCTGGACTCTCACAGTCCTTACTCAAGGCCAACCCGTTTCACCGAGCTGTTCTCTGGCACCACGGTTTCACATAACCCTGTCGGCCAGCGCGTGTAATGAACAAAGCGAGCACTTAACATGGTACTTGCTGTGTGCCCGGCGCCGTGCCAGCACTTTCATATCTACGGCTTCGGCTTTTTTAAACAGGTCAGGGGGTGGGGTGAGGAGAGGCTAGGAAACTCGCCCAAGGTCACCTTGTCTCCCAAGGTCTCCCAAGCCCATGCCCCTAACCACCATGCCTACTGCTTCTCCTGAGCAAATCTGGACTGAATCACTTCCCTCCCCCAAAGTAGAATGCATTCATTGTAATAAAAATGTCACGGGGCGCTTGGGTGGCTCAGTCGGTTAAGCGTCCAACTTCGGCTCAGGTCATGATCTTGCAGTTCATGAGTTCGAGCCCCGCATCGGGCTCTGTGCTGACGGCTCAGAGCCCGGCACCTGCTTCGGACTCCGTGTCTCCCTCTCGGCCCCTGCCTTGCTGATGCTCTGTCTCTCTCTGTCTCTCAAAAAATGAATAAATGTCAAGAAATTTTTTTCTTTGATTTCACACAATGTAGACAGATTTTTAAAGAAAAAATCACCCATAATCCCACAATGCAGATAATTCTGTTAATGTAGTTCACTTTTTACTAAGCTTATACATGTATATGCCCATAAAATTATGTTTTGGGGCTTCTATGCCTAATTGTTCATCCAGCTCATGAATATGTATTATTATCTCCTCTCCAACAGATTATAAATTCTTCGCAGCCACAGATTCTGTCATTGTCTGACCCCACGAATGTAGTAGGATGCTGCCTTATCCCTCCGTATGCTCTCAGCATTTTGAACATTCAGAATTCAGAGGTTTCAAGGATCTTCTGTTTGGTAGGACACGTCTTCTATCTGTACTGTCTCTAGGAGCAAGATAGTTGGTGTTTCTGTTCATGTTTTCAGGGTTACTGTTTTATAGAAACTTGTGTTTGCCTTCAGTCTGTTAATTATGGATGTTGAGATAAATTCCAAAACGTTTTTAATGTAGGTCTTGGCCACAAGAAAGCTGGTCAAATAAAAAGAAGGATCGGAGTATCTGATGAACAGAAGAGAAATAATCCTTGACAGAGAGATGATGAAAATAACTTCGTGCTCGTTTTGTGACTCACTATTGTGTGGGTTTTTTAAAGGAGTTGGTAAAATATCTTTCGAAAAGAGAGCTTGAGCACATTATTTTGTGCACATCTTGCAACCTTTGGATTTGATACAAAAAAATAGTGGATTCTATGGTGTTTGGGTTGGAGTGGGAAGAAGACGTAAATAGACCCGCTCTGACTAGGTAAGTTTTGTTTTGTTTTTTTTAAGTTTATTTACTTTGAGAGAGAGAATGAGAGAGAGAATCCCAAGCAGGCTCCACACTGTTGGCACAGAGCCGGATGTGGGGCTCAAACCCACGAACCGTGAGATCATGACCTGAGCCGAAATCAAGAGTCCGACGCTTAACCGACTGATCCACACAGGTCCCCCTGACTAGGTAAGTTTTTCATTGCAAGAAACCTCCCCGGTGTTGCACCGAAGGAAACCACCCTGAAGATACCTTGTACTTTACGAGCATATTCTACGTGTAAGCCGCTCTTTCATGCAATAATTCGCTTAATCCTCAACAACTGTCTGAAGGAGATTGTGTGGTGAAACAGGCATGCGAAGCTAAGCCATATGGGCGTCAGAGTCTGATCCCTCCAGCACTCCTGTTGTATGGCAGAATTCCAGAATGGGCCAAGTCCAGAATGCCCAAAGACCTATGGAGAGGCAGCCTACCATTCTGGAAGGGGCTTTGGCCTCGGGGTCAGCTCCAGAACCAGCTCTCATGGGAGATGGTGAAATAACTTGAACCTCAGGGCTTTGCTTGCTGGCCACTCACTGTCAAGCCCCAGGTTTGTGTTCCGGCCCGGGCCCCTCTCCTGCCCGGCAGACACTCGTCCTCGCCGATGTCCGAGAGGCCCTCAGAGTTGACGTGTCCAAATTAAGTTGCTTCCGCTTCACCCCCAACCCGTTCCTCTTGGTCTCCCCATCACAGTAAATGGCGCCGACATCCTTCCAGGTCGCTCGGGCCAAGAACTTGGGAGTCATTCTCGACCTCTCTCTTGTGGGCTGCTTGCCAGTCTGTCCACAAATTTCTCAGCTCTACCTGTAAAATGTACCCAGCATCAAGCCGCCTGACCGCTCTCCCTGTTTCTCCCTTGTTCTTTCTCGAAACGGCAGCTGGAGCGGCCTTGTTAAAACTTGCCTAAGTTCAGGGGCGCCTGGGTGGCGCAATCGGTTAAGCGTCCGACTTCAGCCAGGTCACGATCTCGCGGTCCGTGAGTTCGAGCCCCGCGTCGGGCTCTGGGCTGACGGCTCGGAGCCTGGAGCCTGTTTCCGATTCTGTGTCTCCCTCTCTCTCTCTGCCCCTCCCCCGTTCATGCTCTGTCTCTCTCTGTCCCAAAAATAAATAAACGTTAAAAAAAAAAAAATTAAAAAAAAAAAAACTTGCCTAAGTTCAGAGGACGCCCGGCTGGCTCGTCGGTAAGCGTGTGACTCTTGATCTCAGGGTCACAAGTTCGAGCCCCACATCGGGCATGAAGAGTACTAAAAACAAAACCAGAAAAACCTTCTTGGCTAAGATCACATTGCTTCCATGCTCCAAACCTTCCCCGGCTTCCCAATGCCCTGGGAGTAAAAAAGATTTTACAGTAGCCTAGAAGGCAGTGCACTCCCTCTCCGCAATCTGTCTGAACTCACACCCTACAGCTCTCCTTCCCCCAACCACCAGGCCGCCCTGGCCTCCTCCTCCTGCAGGCATGCTCCCGGCACTGCTAGGGCCTTTTCCTGCTGCCCCGTCGGCAAGGAACCCCCTTCCCACGGA